CAAAAACAGCTTTAAATTTTAGCGGGCCGTACAGTAGAATACGGCCCGCAAAAATTGACCAATCATAGCGCGCGCGCTAACTTGGAGATATAATAATAATAGGTACAGCATCGTTCTTTATAGGACCTATATGGCCCCTTGGAAATATGAGTGGGGAGTAATGGCTTTTCCAGATTGTTTCACATTTGGATTATCCAGAGCAAATTAGGTTCCCGAAAGGGATATTGTGATAAATCATTTATTGAATGAAGTCAAGAAAGGGCTAATACAACAACAGATTTCCATCTCTGAAATTGAAGACTTTTACTGTTTGGTCGTGCTGGTTTGCCTTTGTAGAGCATTGTCCGAGGGTCTTTCCAGGGACCCCACTAATTCTCTCAACTAATGAGTTAGGTCCTCTAGCAAAGTTTATCTCTTTCGACTCAGTTAATACGTCACTCACTCACTCATGCCCTTTACGCCTAAGTGGCATGTAGGGCAGCAATATGCTCCCTCCACATCTGCCGGTCCCTTGCCATAAACTTGATGCCTTCCCAGGTCTTCCCCATCTCCTTGATTTCCTTCCTTTCGGCTTTGGCCATTGTCAGTTAATACGTACTTGACTTTTTTCACTTAATGATTTTCACAAAGCAGGTTATTTTTTTAACAATAAAGTGCATAGCAAATTAAGAAGCCATTAGATAGTAGTATACAAGCTTATTAAAGGCTAATCAATTTATTTTTTAAAATAACGTGTTGGTTTTCCAACTTAAGAAATACGCTTTAGTCAAAGTGCTAGCTGTAGAGCGTTTTCAGTGTGTTGCACTGTAGAAAACTGTAAGTTCTATACAGTTGAAAGATATGGCGTATGAAGTAGGAGTTTTCCACTATTTTGCATGTAAAACAGTTAAAATAAGTAAGAAACGGCTTCTCTCCAGGCTCTCGCTGTTTTAGCGTTCTCTAAGGTTGGAACTAACATTGACATTATCGAAGGGTGGGTGGGCTTGTGTTCAGGGGAGGGAGTGAGGACTGTTTTTGTCAGAGTAAGAAGTCTTCTCCGTCAAGTTTCAAAGCTAGCGTCTCCGTAGAGACAGAAGCGTTTGATTGAACTCTTGTTTTAGAGTCGTAGAGCTAGAATAGCAGAGAGAATGGGGGAAATAAAAGAGTTATTATATTTAATTGTTTGTTGTTTGACTCTGATTATAACTTCAGTGAAGTCTATAATTAAATGGCCAGGACTTAGTGTGTAGCTTTACCCTCGGTCATTATCCATCAAGATCAACTCTACATGTGTAGACCTCGGGGTGCGTTTCTTTTAGAAAATCCAAGATTGGATTCTTTGATCCGGAAGAATCCGAAAACGGATTTTGCGTTTCTTTTCTAAACAGATCAATCCAAGATCTCTCGGATCGTGGTGCGTCAAAGGAACCGAAGAATCCACTCTGGGAGTGGATTCTGAAGGAAACGCACCCTTAGTCAACTGACAGGCCGGGCTGACAGAGGAGAAAACCCCGCGGGGGGACTCCCATATGAAAAGGACGGGAGTGCTCGTAGTACCTCAAAGGGGTTGAAAGAGCAGTTTTGGTGCCTCTTAGGGTGTTCAGCCTCAAAAGGTCCACAGCGGGAGCCTTTGTGGCACCTTTAAGTATTCAACCGAAAAAATATGACAGGAGATAACGTGTTGCTTTAGAATTGGCACCTGTTAGGGGGAAAAACAACTTCAAGCCACGCCCACAAAACAGGATCTTGGTACCTCTTAGGGATTCTTTTCAAAATTTCCCACGAGCACCCAACGTCCTTATATGGGAGGTCCCCCTCCCCCCAGGGGGGTGGGGAGAAAACCACGAGGAACGGCTGCAACGGTTACTTCTTCGGACAAATGAACTCAGGGAATTATCCACATGTACCCCCTCAATTTATTAAGTTTATAGACTGTGCATTCATATTGCTGAAATTTATGAAAAGAGAATCCCATCGGTTTCCCCCCAAAAATCGCATAAACTCCTTTGACCTATACGTGCTTTTTCAAAATGAGCCCTCAGAAATGACTGAGAAAACGCAAACTGGTACCGCAATCCCTGTTCGAATATTTTCTTTATCTTTTCGAAGAGTAATGTAAGCATTTCGGAAACAAATCGCCCGAAAATATCTTAAGAAAAAAATGCGTTTTGATCTTCTGCAGTTTTCAGAACCAAGTCGATACCAAGTCAGTCACGCCCGAGTCACGCGACTGAACGAAAAACGACGTTACATTTTTCCCCGCCCCTCCCCGATATACACGTATTATTCAGGGAGCCCTGGAAAAAAACGTGCAATCATGGCGGAAGGTGCAGAGCAGAAAAACGAAGTGGAGGCTCAAGTGGAAATGGCAGAGAATGACGAGGGTAAGGAAGAACGTCTTGAACTCCAACCGGAGCAGGAGACAATGCGCAGTGTAGTACTAACTGGATATGGAGGCATCCACAAGTTACAAGTGCAAAAATACGCGAAACCTAAACCGATGAATGGACAAGTTGTAGTTCGAGTGCATGCTTGGTGAGTACGACGTTTGTCACTGGCGAAAGCTGTTCTCAGATGTTTTTGCTGATTATTGCTACAGGGAAAGATCTGTAATTAAATTATCCACTGTAATGCATGTTTTTCTATTCAACGAAGCAAGAAATTATGCGCATTTGAATTGTTCAACTTGCAAAACGGTGGGAGGGGCGGTAATCTGTAAGCTTCTGTACGCTGTATGTGTAAGCTTATTAGTAATACGTGGTCAGGGGCACGTGCCATATTTCAGTTTTATCCTTCAGTGATGTTAGAGCTAAGAAGTAGAATTTTGAAATCTGTAGCTTTTTAAAATGATTTCCAGCCCATTTCGAGTGACTTGTATTTGGCGTGCCACGACCCGTGACTAAATTTCGCCACTCCAGCTAATAATATCATTGTTGCAAGATAAATGTTGTCTCAGTAATGCATGTATGTCTGAGAAAAAAAATTAAATGGATATTTAAATTAAATTCAGGTTCAATATGGCTTAATATTGACTCTCAGTTTAGAATTATCTCGTGTGGAGAAACCTTTTCAGTGCGAAGTCCATGGGAGGACTATTGGGGTTAGAGTATTGGGAAAGGTACTCCAAGTTAGCGAAATGCAAGTTCCGGATCGGAAACGTGGCCTTCAGATGTTAATATTTTTGTTAGCTGGACACAATATAATGACATACAAAAAGATCGTAACACAGATCTGTGAATAAACTTTCCATTGTTAACTCTGTGAACTTCGTGTACTGGTAGCTCAGGGCGCATACATGAACTTCCCTGCAGGGTAGGTGAGGCAAGTAGCCCTTTGGAAATCCCAGGAAAATGCCTCTTTCCTACTCCCCTGAGATTTCTTTGGTACCTGTTGTGTTTTGGTCCTTTACATATTCTAGGGCATAAGTTGAAGTTGTATTTTGCACTTGTGATTTACAAGTTGGACTCTGGTAAAAATAAAAGGCGAACTCTTGTAAAAGTTTTATTTAAATTTGATTCTTACCATCTTTTACATGTGAAGCGCTATACCTGTAATTACAAGTCGGACACTTGTAACCTGCAGGACTTGTAACGATTTTTGTTGAACTCATTTTCGTGTGCACTAGGAAATGCAATGGTCTGATTTGTAATGTAAAAGTTTTATTAAATTGTACCAGCTGCTTGAGTGCTCTAGAAACTCCCAAGTGTATCCTTAACTTCACTAAACTCATTGGTGAACACATTTTTATCATTTTCATGACACAGTAGGTTACCATAGCAGTCTTGAAAAGTGTTGGAAACTGTTTTGAGCAACCTTAAAAAGTTACATTTTGTATATAACCTTTTAAAATGTTGTTAAGAAATGAGTGAGTAATTGCTGGGTAATTTACTGGAAATTGCCTTTCCTTGATGCTTTGTTGGTAAATGCAAAAAAAAAAATAAAAGTTAATGAAAAATATATTGGATAAGTTTTGAATATATGCTGTCTTGGAAAATAAACCACTATTTTTTTTTAAATCACTTAGTGGCCTCAATTTTGCGGACATAGCACAACGCCAAGGACTTTATCCCAGTCCACGAAAACCTCCATTCATTCCTGGTTTGGAATGTTCTGGAACTGTAGAGGAGCTTGGTGAAGGTGTCACAGGATTAGAGGTAAGTTCTCCATTACACAACATATCATGGTGAATTGTTTTAGTTTTAAGTTTAATTCAGGATGTCTGCTTTTTCTGTTTTATTTGTAATACAATTATTATTTTATTATATGGCAAGGTAAATTCAAGCATTCTGATTGGTTCTTTCTTGGTTGGGATTTTGCCATACAGACAAAATACTCAGAAATTGCCTCTCTCCCACTCCCCAGAGATTTCTTTGCCCAGGTACCTATTGTGTTTTGGTCCTGTGCATATTCTAGGTTGTAGGGGAAAGATTTTCATAGAAGAAAATATAAATAGAGGATATTACATGGTGTCACAAAGATATGAATTTTATTTTTGAGTGAGTAAAAACAATGTTAATAGCAAACAAGCGCAGCGAGGGAGTAACAGACTGACTGTTTGCACAAACAACCGTGAAAAAGTAAGAAACAACTTCATTGAAGATATATATACTCAAGTCCCGGATCTAGTTTTGCACAATGTATGAGTTTTACAGTTGGTGTATTTCCGGTAATAAAAAAATGTCATGTCTATATATTAAATGTTATTTCCAGTCACTTTCTTATGTCTTTCACCTAGTTGAAGACTGATCTGCAGTTGCATCAGCCACGTAATTCATTTCGAGTAGTTGTTTGTTGCCCTTGATCCCTGCAGGTTGGTTCACGTGTAACTTGCTTGACTACAGATGGTGCCTGGTCAGAGTATACCTGTGTTCCGGCCAGCACATGCTTTGTTATTCCAGAGAGCATGAGTTTTGAGGATGCAGCTGCAATTCCTATCACATACCTCACTGCGTATTTAATGCTTTTTCACTGTTCTAATCTGGGTGCAAGGAAAAGTGTCCTGATTCACATGGCAGCTGGTGGAGTGGTAAGAAAAAGACTGCTGTATACATAATCCAAGTAAACAGACATCTGTCTTCATCCCCAGGAAAAGAGTATTACCTTCCATTAGTTTCATGCCTTAAATATGAGCCTCTTATCTGCAGTTTGAGAACTTGGGTTTCA